AGCGGAATGGATTACCCATCACTTCCAGTCCGCCTTTCTGAAGGGTTGGCGGATCCATGAGTGGATCCTGGCCCTGCATGAAATAGTCCATGAGGTGGCATCGAGGGGCCATAAGGGCGTATTTCTTAAGTTGTACTTCCAAAAAGCCTACGATCGGCTAGACGGGTCCTTCTTGTGCTTGTTATTGCATCGGAGAGGGTTTGATGAGAGATGGTGCTCGTGGATCATGCAGTTGGTTCATACTGGGAACACGAACGTTAATATTAATGGGGAGGTTGGACCCTACTTTCGGTCCTCGAGAGGAGTACAGCAGGGAGACCCCATCTCCCCTCTTCTCTTCAACCTTGCGGTTGATGCCCTTGATAGCATTCTAGACAAGGCTAGACTGGCTGGCCACCTGAAAGGGGTGGTTAGTCACTTGATCCCTAGTGGCGGTGTCACTCATCTGCAATAGGCGGACGACACCAAGATTATGGTCGAGGGATCGGAATTGAACATCATTAATCTTAAATTCCTACTATGCTTCGATGACATGTCGGGACTTAAGATCAACTTTGACAAGAGCGAGGTAGTGGTCCTCGGTTATTTAGTGGAGCAACCACAAAGGATTGCGGATAGCATGAACCGTACACCGCCTTCCCCATTGCGTATCTGGGGATGCCGATGTCAGACTCCAGGATCTTGTCGTCAGAGTATGATTCGATCGTAGGACGAGTAGCATCCTGAGCGGAGTCGTGGTGTGGACGGTTCACTTCCATGGAAGAAAAACCATCCTCATTGGTTCTAACCTTGCCAGCCTCCCCGTGTATATGCTGGGGATGTATATCTTGCCGGAGGGCGTCAACGGGGCCTTTTATAAGGAGCTGGCAAGGTTCTTCTGGCAGGCTGTCGATGGCCGCCAAAAATACCACATGGTCAAATGGGCGGGCATCTGCCTACCTAAAGATCGAGGTGGGCTAGGTATCACGGCCTCTTGGCGCATGAATGTTGCCCTCATGTTTCGTTGGGTCTGGCGGGTCTTGCTAGGAGAGGGCGGTTTGTGGTTGCAACTTCTTCAAGCCAAATACTTGCAGGGTGCGCCCCTCTTGACATGCTCGCGCGTAGCTGGGTGTCAGTTCTGAAAATCTATCCAGAAGATTAAGCACGAGATCCGGCTCGGCGCCACCTTCTCGGTTGGAAATGAGAATGACACTTAGTTCTGGCTCGTTGGTTGGGTGATGAGCCACTACGCTTTGGTTTCCCTAGCCTTTTTGCTATCTGTTTAGACCCGTCTATTCTGGTTTCCGTGGCATGGGTACACGGCCAGTGGAACATCGCGTTCCACCGAGCACTTACCTAGGAGGAGGCTTTGAAGTGGGATAGACTGAGGGCGGCCGTCCCATCGGGGCTATCACAGTCCCTTGACATTGTCTCCTGGATTCTCTCTCCTTCGGAAAATTCTCCATTAGTTCGGCATATCATGCGCTGTGTCGCGCTCCGGCCATACAGTGGCTATCACCACTGTGGAAGGCCCATGTGCCACTTAAAATAAAAATATTCATCTAGCAGCCGTTCCAGAACCGCTTGCCCTCAGGGACTGAGGTCCTTAAGCGCAACAGTCTGGGCGACGGCATGTGCCCCCTCTGTAGTGTTCCAGAGACGGGCAGTCACATCTTGTTCTCCTATTCCGCGTCGCGGGCTCTATGGAGCATTACTCGGGAGGCACTCGGGCCTGATTGGGTGGCCGGAGACCTGGCCGAGTTCCTGCAAGTCAGGGCGACCCAGACGGGTCACAAGAGCCACCTTTTTTGGTGTATCCTTACGGCATTGACATGGACCCTTTGGACAACTCGCAACAAGATGGTGATTCAGCGGATCTTCCCGCGACGGGCTTTTGACCCGTTCTTCAAATTTCTTGGTTTTTTATAGCACCGGCACCCGCTTGCTAGACAGCGGGACCGCGATCGGCTTGGAGTGGTGGTGGATGTGCTAGTGGCAGCGGCGCGGCGTCTCTCTAATCCTTAGGCTTGCTTTGGAGTTTGCCACTAGGTGACCCTTTTTTTCTTTCTTCTTCGTTTCTTGAGCGTGCTTGTGCTGTGGCCCCAGTCGTCTGTTCTTACTATTGTTCCTGGTACTTGGTTTATGGAGGTTGGCTTTATTTATAAAGCGGGACGAAAACCTAGTTCGAGAGAGACATTCAATCGCCAACCATCCAAGACCAGAATCTTGGTTTTTCCATAGAACATCAGTTCAAGCATATCCGAGCAATGCCTTGAACAAGATAACAATGCAAGAACATTATCATTGCTAGGTGTAACCAACTCGGGTCATACCTAGGCTTTCATCCCGGAACTTGAGACTAGGTGCTCGGGTACACCACATCAATGTCACTTATGTGTTGTCATTATTACTTTTTCACGACCTCAGTAGCTACTGTGATGTGCTACCACCGCCGCTTCAAAATCATCCCTTTGCGCCAAGACACCATCCATATTTACATCTAACCGTCGATGTCAACCACCAAATCTAGAGCGAGGAACTCTCACGAAGACCTTTTGCTAGCCATCGCAATGCACCTTGAGGCCGCTACCGCAGGTCGAAGTGGTGACCACAAGGACCAACACCGACGCCGCAACACACCACCACCGACTAGCACATCTCTAGATAGAGCCCTGCTGAGTCGTCCCAGCCTCCGACATGGCCGGATGTGGAAAAGAAAAGCAAATCACCATTGTCTACGCGCGCCCACGTGGAACATAGCCGCCGCTAGACAAGGAGCCACACAACCACCAGATCAGTGCCAATCTTTCTGTCCGGAGCACTACGCTGACCTGAGCACGCCCGCCGCAGCTGCAGGAAGGATGTTCCTCTAGGTCACATTTCCAGCTTTGGAGCCGAGCCAACCGCCGGATCCGAGCAGGTAGCAGGGAGCCACACGTCATCACCAATGGGATGTGCTTGGTGCCATCGTTGCTACACCAGAATGCTACCGTGGCCGCTTCACCTTGCAGCCAACGCGTATGCACTAGTATCCGGGATGTTGTGCTAGAACGGCTCCACCCTAAATGCTAAGGCGCCTTCGGGTCGGTGCTGCAGTTGGAGAACACCACCGCCGCTACCGTAAAACTTTGCACAACCTCGAAACATCGGAGGACCCACCATCCACCCTGGGGCTTTACTTAGTGTCAATATGCGGCAAGGGAGAGGACAATGGGAGAGAGCGGTGGCAGGAAAAGCTAATCTGATCGCAACCTGTGTTGTCTGCTGTGGACGACGAAGGACAATTTATGTGAAGTATTTCTGCCCTCAACACTCTGCTCCAGGTCCATGGCGCCTTGCCACCGACGGAGCACACCGGGATCTGGGAGCTTGCCGCGGAGCCCCTCCGCTGCTGCGCACCCTCCACGGCACACACACCCAAAAAATCACCTCAACATGCAAACATTCATGGGAATTTTCATTCTATTCTTCTATTTATATTTAATAAACATTTTCAACTATACAACAATTCAAACACAATAAATCATATGTATTTTTTTATTTTTATTTCTCATATTATTACCCGGCATGTTTATGTTCCACGTAATCAAATTTCATTAAAATATATTGCAAAAAAATCACAACAACGTGCAGGTATCATCTAGTTTATGAAGCAAGGGTCGTAACCGGTGTACACAATGCCAATTATGCTGGCAGGAGGAAAAGATTGATCATCTGCCCTCCAGTACGCTTTGTCTGGAATGTGCTAAAATGCATTTTTAGTCTTCCCTATCTTTCCACGGATGTTTCAGAACTGCTGGAATATTGGACAAACAAGTTTGCCAGAGTGACCAGAAAATTAGTGCTACTTGCGGTTGCTGCAGTTCCGCAGACTATCTAGAACACGCGAAAAGATGCTCATTTCTGGCACGCAAAAAACTGCATGATGCGTCTGTTGTTGTGATCAACTAATTTGATATTGGGTTCACTATTGGTCGCTTTTGCGAGAAAGGAGGTAAAAGAAATCTGATGCAGTTGGGAGTAAGATTGTATGAACACCCGACAAATGAAGTGTTTGGGGTTATGCGGGGCTAGAGACTAACTTAACTAATGCTTGATGGTTGATCTCTGAGTAGTTGTCTGGTGTTGATAAGCTGTGTTACAGTAGCTAGTTTCTGCTTTTATATAGCCAGGATGTAGAGTGTTGGTTGTTTGCCTCAGTCGTCGGTATGTTGCATCGGTCGTCGGTACGTTGCAGTTGACCAGTTGTGAGGTGCTTTTGCAAGTGGCAGGGGTGCTAGCATATTTTGGTTTGTTGTCGGTCTTGGCTGGGTTCTGCGGCTGTTTAGCTAGCTTGTGCTGCTTGTTTCGATGTTCCTTCAAGTTGGATGGTCTTGTTGTTGCAAAGGGTCTTTTTATTTCCCTTAATGGTAATGTGTGAGGTAGGACTGGACTCTTACTAGTTAGCACCATAAGTTGGTGGGCTAAGCAGCTCCAGTTTGAACCTCAGGGAACCTAATTTGAAGACACTATTTTGAGATATACATATAGAAAACAATTAACATGTTAAAAGGTTCAGAAAGTATGTTTAGCGGGACTCAAAAGCCATATCAAACCGCTAATTAGGTTAAGTCTGTGTCTCCTTTTCCCTCACACCAGGTTCAAGTTGCATCACCAATAAGATGCCCTTTGGGTGTTTTTGTGCAGAAAACAAAAGATGACCTTGCCCGAAGCGTAATACAAACACATCATGGATTTTGAATAATGTAATTTAACAAAGCCATCATGTAAGAGCAGATTGAAAACAGGCAAGCATACATGGTGTCATAATATATATCTGGGATAACTCAGCTGCATTGGTATTTATATACACTTGTAATTTTGCACTAGTAGTCTCGGACAGACGACAATGGTTAAACAAAATTAAAGAAGATCTCAGACTCTACTAGCTAACAAAAAGTAGTACTAATTAACATCAACTTGTTGAAGTATCATCCGGTATTAACTACTCAAAATCTTCAGGGCTAAAAACGAAGCCAAGTTTATTTCTCGACGGTGACCGAGACGTTGCCGCTGGTAACGGCGTTTTTAGTGAGGACAGTGGGCAGTTCAACGTTCTTGCCCTTCCTGGGGGTCGATCTGTAGTAGTAAAAGTACAGTATCAGCTGGATGAGGCCGAAGATTGTACCGAGGGCATTGGGGATCTGCACAGAATTTAAAGAGGACATAACAGTTAGATCAATCCGCTCTGAGGAGTTCTTGATTGTATGTCTGGCTGGGTTTGAGACTTCTTATTTCCAATGTGTATGTGTATGTACATACCGTGATGTAGATGTCAAACTTAATGAGTGCATAGCCCGTCCAGCAGCAGCCATTGAGGAAGTTCACCAGCGACAGGAAGAACGGCATGTACTCCACACTCTTGGTCCTGATCACTTTACCCTGCAAATAAGCTGTACAATATTACTACTTTTATCTTAAATTTTTGAGTTATACTAATATTTAGTACGCTCGTAAGTTGGTTAAAGCATCCGTAATTAACAAGCAGCCTGAGCTAGTAATTCACCCTGTAAAGGAAGTTTACCTTTGAGGTAGAAATAAACCGTAGGCTTTTGTGATTAAACATATATGATGTAGCATCTTGTACAAGAACTAGGGTGTGTATGAGAGCTGAACAACTCAATTTGGACGTTTTCTTTGAACAGGGATTTGGCATAAACATTAAAACATGAAAGGTGGGTGAATCTTTTGGATTGACATAGATTTTCAAGCAGAATCAACAACAAACAAGGTGTACTACTTAACAAATTAAGGTCTGTCAAAAGCATCCACTAGAACTTTAAAAATAAATTATATGCAGGTATTTTTCTAGACAACGCATCGTTATCACACCATATGTGCACAACGCAGATTAATTAGCCACCTGAACTAACAAGTTAAAGCGGTTACCACCTGAACTACAGATGATCCATAAGTTAGGGTGGTGTACGTACCATGATGGTGAGCGGGGAGGCGTACATGATGGATCCGAAGATGACGCAGAGGATGCCTACGATCATGGAGCGCTTCTCATGGGTGTGAGCGCCCACGAGCACACCGGCCACCACGGCAGCCATGAACGCCGCCTCGATGGCGAGCACGCCGAGCATCTTCCACTGCACGCACAGCACAGGCACATGGCATGGGTTAGGGCATGCAAAAGGATCTTCTGTACAGAAACTAACGCCGAAAAGATACAGTAGGCCGGATGAGGGGGCATTAGGAGGGTTGCACGTACGTACCCTTGTGTTCTTGGCCGCGTAGATGATGAAGATGATGATGTAGGCGCCCTCGATAACAAGGCCGATGCCGTTGATGGTGAGGACGAGGGTGCTGTTGGGGTGGACGATGGGGAGCCCGTAAAAGAACCAGAGCAGGCAGTTCATGAGCGTCGCCAGGTAGGGGTCTGGCTTGAACTCCTCCACGTCCTTGGCCTTGTAGATCCGCCAGAACGTTGGCCTGCGTACGTACAAGCAGAAAACAAGTATCAGATTCATGCCCTAGCTAGCTGCCACAACCACCTTCGATGTATACAGATTAGACAAGAGGGAGACGAGACAATCCACAAGCCACAACCACCTTCCATGGATGTATACACATTAGGCAAGAAGGAGGAAATACTACAGAAGCGGGGGAGAGGGCTTACACAGGGGAGAGGAAGAGGCCGAAGGAGATGACATTGCCAATGATGCCGACGATGTTCCGGGCCACGTCGGCGGAAACCATGATGCTCAGCTAGATCGACCGCCGGGAACACAACTCGATTGCTCGGGGGAACAAACGACTTCAGGAAGGTTGGTTCTGATTTGTTTGGGGCGTGGGTGGCCCAACTTATATAGTAGGGGGTTAGCCTTCCCCTTACCCAAGTTATATCTGATGTGGATATGGTTATAAGGGTAGGTTAAACGGTTTGATTTGGGTGCAGTCCTTATCGAACTCCCTCTCCGGCCGTGCTCTCCAGACGAAAAAGGATCACGTAGCTAGGAGCTAGCTCCTCTCCCACGTAACAATACTCCTAACCCCCATACAGTCGTACGCAAACAAACAAGGACAACCCTATTCGCCAAACTGTCACGGACCAAGACCGACCCAGCCGGCGTCACCCAAGGACACTGCAAAGCTCAAGACCGACCCAGTCGGCCCAACGACTCCGGAAGCCCAACACGCGTGTTACTGCAGCCCGTGAAGTGCTGTTACCGAAAAAGGCTTTCGCCCCGCTTTATAAATAAAGCAAACCGCCAGAGAACGCACATACATGGACTAGTTCACACGCACACACCCAAGTCTCACAAGGAAGTACATAAATTTTGCCGAGGGCACAGCTCAACAAGCCCACAAAAAACGAAAAAGAAAACAAGCCAGCCGCCAGGGGCGAGGAAGGAGCCTAATTGGGCTCTGGCGGAGGCGGCGGTGGCGGTGGCGACAGGCGGACGGCCATCGATCGGAGGTCGGTGATGAAGGCGGAGATGAAGGCGGAGATGGCGTCGCGGTCCAGGGGGCGGCTAAGTTGCAGCCAAAGCTGCAAGAAACCAGAGAATTTAAAGAGTGCGTCAATAGCTCGTCGAAGAGGGGTGCGCTGGATCACAAGCTTATTGCGGACCGTCCAGAGGGTCCAGGCGAGGATCCCAATCTCAAGCCACCTAATGTGGCGAGACGACAAGGGGGAGTTCTGGAGTTTGGCAAATAAGTCGGGGAAGTTGTTGTGGCACCAATCGCCACCAACCACTTCCCGAAAGCAACTCCAAACGAATTGAGCGGATACGCAGGAGAAGAAGATGTGATTCGAGTCTTCGGGGACACCGCAGAGGGGACAAATGCCCGAGCCTGGGCCATTCCGTTTGCGGACCTCAACCCCGGACCGGAACCCGACCGCGAATCCATTGCCACATGAAGATCCGGATTTTCAGAGGTAGGAGAATGGTCCACACTATCGAGAGGGGGAGGGGGGCGGAGGAGGGGGCGATGGCCTGGTAGAGGGACTTGGTGGAGAACATTCCGGTGGGCTCCAGGCGCCAACGCACCTGGTCAGGCCCACCGTCCACCCTAGGCTCGTGCAGGGCGACGCAATCCAGCAGCTCGCGCCAAGGAGCAGATTCCGGAGGACCAAAAGGACTGCAGAAGGCGAGACGCCCTAAGTCAATAAGGCCCCTCTCGACAGAGATCACGGGGTCAACGGCGATGGAGAAAAGGCCGGGAAAGCACGCCGCGAAGGGGGTGTCACCAGCCCAACGATCAAACCAGAACAAAGTCACCGCTCCGGAGCCAACCGAGATGGAAGTCCCGATGCGGAGAACCGGGAGGAGCTGAACGACCGACTGCCAGAACTGGGAGCCGCCAGTTCACTGGCAGAAGGCGAGGGGCTGTCCGCGCAGATATTTGTTCCGGATGATGTCGAGCCAAAGACTGCCCATGCCTTGCGAGATGCGCCACAACCAACGGGAGAGAAGAGCAATGTTCATCCGCTTAGAACACATAATGCCCAGGCCGCCCTGCTCTCTGGGATTGCAAATGCCCGGCCAACTGGCCATATGATACTTCTGCTTGTCATGCTCGCCAACCCAGTAGAAGCGAGACTGGACTTTGGCAATCACCTTGTGCAGAGTCTCGTGGAGGCTGTAGAAGCTCATAAGAAACAAGAGGAGGCTGGAGAGGGAAGAGTTGATGAGAATAGTCCTGGCCGCCTTAGATAGCCATCTCCCCTGCCAAGGCTCAATGCGTGTTTGGAGCTTGGCCACGGCCGGGCGCAAGTCTGCGACGGTGAGCTGCGAGTCACTAATGGGCGTCCCAAGTAGGTCATGGGGAAGGAGCCCAGGCGACAATTAAGCCGGTTGGCAATGGCAATGCATTCCTCGGGCGGGTAGCCCAACAACACCATAACATCACTCTTGTCGAAATTAATCTTTAGGCCAGACATTATTGGAAGCATAGGAGGAGGAACTTGAGGTTGGAGATGTCCACCTCAGAGCCTTCCGCCATGATGATAGTGTCGTCTGCATACTGGAGGAGGGAAATCTCGGACCCACCGACGAGATGGGGGGTGATCCCGCGGATATGGCCAGCCGCCTTCGGCTTATCCAGGATGGCGGCAAGGGCGTCGACGACCATGTTGAACAGGAACGGGGAGAAGGGGTCGCCTTGTCTAACCCCACATAAGGTGGGGAAGAAAGGGCCGATCTCGCTGTTAATGTTAATAGCTGTTCGACCGCAGGAGACCATCTGCATCACTCTGGTGATCCAGCGGTCGTCGAAGCCCTTCAGGAGTAACACTTCCTGAAGGAAGGACCAACTAACACTATCATAGGCCTTATGAAAACCGATCTTCAAGAAGACTGCCTTGAGGTGTGCTGTTGGTGCTCTACTCCCTCGATCCCATAATATAAAAATGTTTTTGACACTATGCGACGGAGGGAGTAATACACAATTATCTTTCTACTATCAACGTGGAGTACGTAGGTCGTTTTGTTTGGTTTGGCTGCCTCACTCCCCCATCGATCAAACGCCCTAACGTCTCTGTCTCAACGATTTTTATCCTAAAAAAACCCAACTCTTGTTCTCGGGTTTTTAACCGCCTTCTGTACTACCTAGAAACAAATCGCTCCACCAAGTCCTCTCTCCTCTAGGTTGTGCCTCCCAATGCCTCCTCCGCCTATAACGAGCGAGCATTCTACACCATTGCAACAGCCCCCATGACTTTCTCCTACATAACCGTCCTCTCCCCCAAGGAGCTTGCAGAGAGAAGACAAGTGCTGCGACAGCAGCAGGAGGTGGCCTGGAGGCACGGGAATGGTTTTGCCTGCAGTCGGTGGCCTTCTCCAAGGGCCTGCGGCAGCGCGGCGAGCCTGATGCGCCGCGACGGGCGCTGCACCGTAGTGCGGTTGTAGGGGATGGACATAATGCGGCCACGAGTTTTTTGTTGTACCAACGAGCAAATTCTAACAAATTATTCCACCAAGGTCGGTTTATCAAATAGCTTTTCCGATCTGTCCCAAATAACTCAAAGGTTCTACTATGAATATTGATGTATTGAAGTCATTGGCTTCCCGCTATATGATGTGATGTCTACTGATTTCCCTTTCCCCTTTTCTCAAAGGTTCTCCACCCTCTAGCAGACCTCTTCCTCCATCTCCCTAACCCAATTAACACTACTGATGTTGAGTATCGTGATTATTTAGAAAGCATAGGATAGCGTAGAATTTATTCTATCTTGTTTTGTACTGCAAGAGGGTCTTGTAACTCCTATATACTATATCTATATGCCTACGAGGCTCAAGCAATACAATATCAATTCCTGCAATCACTTCTCTATTCTTCTATATGGTATCGGCCTTTCCTCGATCCTAAACCCTAGCCGCCACCATGTCCGCACCGCGCTGCCCCCGGGGAGGTCCATATCCATGGTCTCCACCTGGGGCCGCACAACTCGTACCAAGGGTTCGTCTGCCGGTCATGTTGATCGGTTGCACTAGAGAGTATTTTCCCTTATCTATTTTTGGATTATTTTTCTCTCTTGCCGATTGATTGACCGGTCTTTCTTTTTGGACTTCTGATCCATAGGTCGGTTTATGTCACCCGCCGCCCCATCTATCCTGGCGTGCTTCTACTCCAACTACGGCAGTGGCTACACCGGCCAGTGATCCATCGTAGGCTCGTCGTCACCAAGGTCTCCTGATTTCAACAACTAGGACATGCGTGGCCTAGTGCTACCACTAGTAGAAAACAGACTTTATGTTTGGATCATTAGTCCCGGATTGGATTCGGCTTGGTACTAATGTGACCATTAGTGTCGGTTCCAACGGCTAGGGGGCGGGCATCATTAGTCCTGGTTCGTGTTGAACCTCGAGTACCGGTTCTTGGCACGAACCGGGACTAAATGGGTGGTGGCAGGCTGGTGGCAGGCTGGGGCCCCACTAGCACCTTTAGTCCCGGTTTGTGTCACGAACCAGGACTAAAAATAGTCCTATATAAACCCTTCGTCCATCCCAGCTCTTTCCCCTTTCCTCTCCTCTCTGTTCTTCCCCTCTTGCTCAAGCTCATCCTCCATTTTTACAAAACTTTGTCAAGGTTTGAAGGCACCTTATCCATCCAAGTGTTAACAAAGGTTAGAAACTTCGTCCTTCCATCCCTCATTGCTAGATTAGCTCTTGTAATGCTCTATAAGTATAGTGATTTATGGGGTTTAGTTTGAGAGTATTTATATGTGGTAGTTTATTTGATTTATATGCAATTTGAGCTCAAATTAACTTCTTTGTTTGCATGTGTAGGTGTGGTTTACTTAGTGCCTTCCTGTCCCCGTCCTAACCACCGTCGATCGCCCGCACCATCCCATCACCGGCACCACCTAGGTGAGCCTCTTGTTCTTATCTTTTTTATAAAAAAAATCATGTTTGTGTGATTTAGATAGTTACTTGTATAATTTTCTTACCCGTACGTTGTTTGTTATACATAGTGGCATGATTTTGATATCGGATGTGGTATATATATTCTCTTTTATAACTATTTGTTGCATCTCATGTTTGTGACAATTATGCTGACCAACATGACAGATGTTTTTTATCTAGGAGGTATGTGAACCGGAAATTCCAACCGACCCTCTTGTCGAGAGGTTAAATTTACTTGAACAAGAAAACGAGTATTTGAAGAAAAAATTGAAAAGAATTGAGGAGGAAAAGATGGAATTGGAGTTGCATGTTGCCAATGTCGTCGATGATCACAAGATCAAGATGGAT